CCCAACCCTGAATAATTATTTGTTTTATAATTTTGATCATTTTTTGAAAATATATTTTTGATAAAAATTTCGTGTATATATAACGTTATAATATAAATAAATTATTTTTTTCCATCCTACTACTTTCAGTTATCAGAGCTTTGAGACTTTGCAACATTTAAAAATTATGTACGTGATAATTTTACTTTCCTAAAAAATATTTTTCTTAATGAATATATGCTGTGTTAACAATGTAAAATATTATATTAAAAAAAACAATGCTTGGATGCTCTTTAAAAATTCAGCATGTCTTGAGTTTGGCTAAACAAGTTTTAATACCGTTACTTTATGTGAATATCTATGAATGTCATGTGAATATTCTATGAATACCACGTGAATATTTCTATGAATATATCACGTGAATATCTATGAATATAATGTGAATATATTATCTCATGTTCAATGTCAATGTGAAGTGATACTGCATTAATTTCATTAGAAAAAATGTACTGTGGGAAAATAAGTCCTCAAATAGCTTGTTTCAATGCAATTAATCGAAAGCCTAGTCTGCTAATTCAAATGGAAATTCCGTGAAATGTGCAAAGGATGGATATATTCAGAGATAATTATTTCACTTGAATTGAAATATAGTAGGTATATACATATAATCAGACTTATATATGAGTCGCATGTGAAAAAAAATACAGCTTCGCGTGTACTCGATCACGGTCGATCGCGACGCGATATAATAGGGAAAGTAATTAAAATCCAAGAAAAAAAGCGGAGAAAAGAAAGAAATTCCATTGTTGAGATTGCCTGAAGTGGAACAAGCGCCAAGTCACCCGCCAAGTGAAAATAATTCATCATCTGGGAATCGGAAAGAAAAAATTTTGTGGGACAATTGGCAAACGCGATGAGGCGCACGATCATGCATAAAATTTGGATTACATTTTAACGAAATGACAGATACGACTATAAAAATCGATTTTTATCTTTTTCTTAATTTTAGGATTATGTCTCGTTAAAAATAATTTCCAAATTACTTGAATATATATTCTAAAAATTATTTAATAAAATCATTTTTAATTCTTTATTTATTATTATTTTTAAATTGTTTATTTTTTTATTAAATTATTTAATAAAAGAACGTTTTGTCAATGTGCTCGCACTTTAAATATTCATATTGTCTACTGCTTTTTTTACTAATTGTAAGAGATGTGTATAGTCGTCGAGAGGGAATTTCGGCTATTAATTAAACTGTTCGCACGCATGCACAGAAACGCAAGAGTTATGTTCCGCTTCGTGAGAAATGCGATTCTCTCTCGAGAGCGCGTCTCAGATCGGAACATAATAAACCAGAGGCTTTCACTCTGAAGAGATGTCAGCCTCGCGCAGAGTTAAAATTAACGAAACGCCTTCGGAGCCTCTGCGGAGAAAGATATCTTCTCTTTCTTTTCTTTGAACTTTAGATTATGCGGTCTGCGAAAGTGTGCGAGAATATAGTCTTCTCTCTCTCATAATTATATTAATAATACATCTTAAGTCATATCTGTGTATCTAAGAAGCAGAAAGAAATTTAACGCGTTATTACTATAGATTTAACATTTATTTCTGTGATATTAAAATCATGAAAACAAAGTCTAAAACAAATAATATAAATAAATCACAAAGTATAAGAATTACTATAATTTTAAATATATATATTTATTTTAGAAATAAATGTTGAAATTTGTAATAATTTTTGTAAATTTCTTCTGCGCGGAAACGATTTTTTAAAAATATATTTTCTTGTATCTTAAATTGTAATGTGACAAAAAATAATAATTATACAGCTTCTTTTATAAATAATTAATTATCTTTGAATATTGTTTCTTCATTGTTTATAGTTTATAGTAATCATAATTATATACTATATACCTATATATATAATTCATTGAAAAATAATTATCATAAGAGAATCGTAAGATCAAGTTCATCGTATTGATATAATTATATACAATACTAATTCAAAGAATTTATTAATTAGTCAGAATATCAATTATTAGAGATTCACGATGCCAACCCATCTTAAAAATCCGAAGCGATTTGCCGCGATTGGCCTTGGAAAAACACGACAGGAAATTATTCCGCTAGTCGCGCGACCTCGCACGCGTAATCGACGAGATTGTATCGCCTCTTCTCTCCTTCTCCTTTAAGAAGTACTCATATGTATAGATAATAAGCAAGAATCACGTCTCTCAACTCTCAGAATAATCAAATGATAATAAAATAATAAAATTATAATAAAGAGAAATATATTTCAGAAACAAACTTATAATACCATTTCATTAAAAAAAAAGCATTTATGGCTTACAATTGTTATTTAAGAAAATATAATTTTATTTTATGTCTACTTTATTAATAGGACAGATAAGAAATACTGTATTAAGTAAATTGCGTTGTGATTTCAAGCTGAGAAAAAGTTAATTTACAGTTTTGGAGAGCCACGAGATATCTTTGATCGATTATTTTTATATTAAGAAATCTTTCAGCGTTTTATGCTTTATGGATAAATACTATCTTTAACGGTGACTTAATATTTAGTGACAAAAAATTTCAATATAACGCAAACATAAAAAAATTACAACGAACCGAGCGTAACATGATCCGTCATGTCAAGATAAAAAGCGACACGTGTCGAATCTTAAAAATGTAATTTAAAAGAGTGATTATACACTATACATGACCGTCACACCGCAAGGGTTAAAAGAAACGAAATGTATGTGAGAATGCTGGAGCGAGAGAAGCTGAAAGAAAATAACGCAAAAGAGAAGGGAAAACTGAGAAAGGCACTTTCGCGTTTAAGCGTGCTCAGAAAAATGCGCGGAAAATGCATCATCGATGTCGAGAAGAATTTTCCCATGAAAAACACGACGTGAATTTCACGTCGCGCGATATTCGAGACATAAATTGCTAGTCTTTGACGCATTTCCATCGCGAACCAATAGACTTTCCCCACGAAAAAAAAGTTTACTTCGTGTGAACGCATATTAGCGAATCTCTCTTCGAGAATGCCAGATTATCTCACCTAATCAACATTAAACATTAACATGTTGACTGCCAAACCGTGTTTTTACTACTTTGTCGAAAAGTCATAAATATATAATATATACCAGGTTGGGTAAGTTAATAATTTATAAATCTAAGTTTGTTGCTAAGTTAGTTGCTTATAAAATTATAATTTAGTTAAGTTAAAAGTTTTATGAACAAAAAATTAACTCAGTTAAAGTTAAGATTAAATTAATTGAAGTTAAATCAAAAGTTAATTTTTAAAAACATTATTTATATTAAATTAGAATTTTGTTTGTTAATTCTTTCGAAATATGTAATAACAGATAACAAAGAAATTTTGATTTTTATATAGAAATATATTTTTTGGTAATTAAAATTGATGACAAATAAACATAAAAATTAATAATACTTTAATTTAAAAATAAATTTTGATTTTTATATATAGAAACATTTTGGTAATTACAATTGATGATAAATAAACATAAAAATTAATAATACTTTAATTTAAAAATAATACATTTATAGCTTATAAAAAAAACAATAATGGTATTCAGAGAAAAGTTAAAAGAAATTTAACGTAGGAAAAAAGAGTTAATAAGTTTAAGGTAAAAAATAACTAGTTAAAGTTAAAAATTAATGCATTTTAAATTAACTAATTGTAAGCTAAATTAATAGTTATTAACTTTTTAACTTTTTAAAAATTTTTAACTAATTCACTAGTTATTACCCAATCCAGTATTTATCATATAATATATACTGCATTGTACTGTTAATATCATGGCTTTCGTGTATCACTGATACACAGATAATGTATTTTATACAAATTATTTAATGACTATTATGTGAATTACGATGTGTATATCTGATGTGGCAGTCAACCTGTTAATATACATAGTGTTCTGAAAATAACGCGCTTTCTCTTTGTTTGTGTAAATCATATGTTTGTACTAAATAAGAAAGGTATTTATTAAAACAAGGAAAATATAATTAGACGAAATAATATTGTGCATATATCGTGGTCGTGCTTTTCTGGCGCGCAAATGCAACTTCTCTAATGCGAGTCGTGGAAGCTATAGAATTCATATAATGGAATTCGCGTGGGATTCTGCCCAAGGTTCTTACGTCTGTTTGATTTACTCGCGAAGTTATGCCCGAATGAAAAGTCACAGCTCTTAAACGTCTTACCGACAAATTGATTTGAACAAAAGAACAAATTACTCTAAACAGTTATGAGAAAAAATCCCTAGATCTTTAAAAAAGTTCTATTACTTAATTCTATTATAAAAGTGGCTAGAGAGTTAAATCGGATCTTGTTTTTAAATCAGCGATTTAAATGATAGCAAGTGTCACGATCCCAGATGCATTTCTTTAAAGATTTACATACAGAGATTAATGAGTTTCATGCAATTATCTAATTGTTGTTGAATATGATTATCGTTTGCCTTTTAGAATTTAGAGCATGGCCAGTTGATAATCTCATTCTCATTAAATCAATGTATGTTAATCGTACAAAAATAAATCAAAAATATATAAAGTATTTTAATTTATTTTCATTTTAAATATAAAAAAATCTTGAAATATTTTTTTCGTTCAAATTAATTACAGATATAAATAAATTATTTTGAAATTAGAAAGCTCTCACTGTATTAAAATATTTCAATATTTGTTTAATTATTTCTATCATTAATTAAAGAAATATCCATTTCCAGAAATTATATAAAAATTATATATACTTAGATATTGAAATTTTTAAATGCAATTGCGAGATGATTCGCGTGCAATGGGAATTTAACGCTTTTATGTAAGCCTGGGAAATCGCATAAATAGTTTCGCGCAAATTACGAACATAATGGACGATTACGCGGTTACAAGTCGATATTTTTATCGATGATTTTTATCGCGAGATGCCATCGTTCGCGCGCGCGGTTTACCTTCAAGAAACTAAACGCTCGTAATTTTGCTGATTATAGGACTAAAGTGCGGCCATCCGGCTGTGCCGATGAACGCCAAAGTATCGTTGTCTGACGAATCTTTAACGGTCGGCACCATTGCGAAGTACACCTGCGATACTGGCTACGAGTTGTTTGGGTAAGTGCATATTTCCATACTACAATGCATCGCAATAATACTTATACGAACACCCTACTTTCGACAAACTAAATTTTCAATAGAAAAAATAATAGTATTTTTCCTATTTGTATTTATTTGTGCATGGTAACAGTAATATCGTAAATACTTATATTGCATTTTGAAAAAATAATTCGATTAAAATAAAAAAGTTCGCTAATATCTCTTGTTTCAGAATTGTTTATAAATGTTTGTAGTTGCGTTGTTAAAATATTGTATAACAAAAATTTTATCAGCTTTATCAATTTAAAAAATAATAGTAAATAATATTTAATCGCCAATAGAGAATTCAAAATTGAGGTTGATATTTTCTTCGACCAAAAACGGAAAAAGTACGCATTATATATTAATTATTATATTCCGTTTTGCGTAATTAACTTTGGCGTCGTTAATTTTTTGTAAAAAATTTTGTGTAATTTTGTATTCATTGTAGCACTTGATAAGGACCAAAAAAATTTAATGGTCGAAACATTGTGTTTAATTAATAAAAGATATTCAAATTATATGCCGATTTTTGGTCGAAGAAAATGTCAATCTCAATTTTGAATTTCAAAAATATTTCAAGTTATATTTTTCATAATTATTTGCAGTTGTTTGAAATTATTTTCATTTCGTTCGTTGTTCAATTAAATTAATTTAGAAAAATTATATTTGCAATTGACAAACAACTTTGTCATTTTAAAAAAATTTTTAATCTCCTTGTGCTATATTTTTTAGAATTAAAATAAAAAATATAGGTATATAATAAAAAGTAATTTTTGACTCATTTGGAAACAAATCCAAGCAACGACGAGGCAATTATAAGTCTTTTGGGTATTGATGCACGTATTATAAAGTATCTATAATGCTTTTGACAGTAGTCTTTTGCTCTCCATAGGGGACCGAGCCGCAATAAATATTTTTTTTAGTCAGCTTCTACTCAGGTAAAGATAGATGTTAAGTCAATTAATTGGCTGTGGAGAATCTGACAATGTGTAAAGAAACTAATATTTATGCGGTTACCAGATCCTTACAAAAAGCGAGAAATATATGAAAAAATATAGTATTAAACATTTATATAGAACATGTACTAAGCCAAAGGCTTAGTTGACAACAATTACGTTTCAATTGTTTCTACTACTGGCATCTCATCGCGGTTTATTCATGATAATGACGCAATGGGGCTACGCCTATCGCGTGATATCAACGGATAATATTGCTTTCCCGGAAAGAATCTCGATCGACAGGCGTGCCATTCTCCTTGCAACAGCATTAAAATTATCAAAACAGTAAGATGAACTTCAAATGCACTTAATCATTAAATCTCGGATATATAGTCGAAAAATTTCTATTAAATTTAACAGATCACATATCCCAAACGGGTCACAGAAATTTTTGTGTTAATTTAACATAATATGGATATGTTAAATAGAGACACAAATATTGTGTTAATATTTTAACTCAAAATAAATGCAAAGCTTCAAATAATTTAAAATAAATTTTGTGTGAAATTAACATAATTTTAATGTAAAAATTAACAAAAAATATATTAATTTTAGATTTTATCATCCCCACTCATATTATAAAATAGAAAATCAACATTTTTTCTGTAAATTTTAATAGATAAATCTTGTCACTAATGAAACAGAACATATTTATTATGTAAAATTAAAAATAGATGCACATTGTGTTATTTTACATTTTTTCATTTACTATAATTTTCCGTATTAAAAAATAAATTTTTTAAAAGTCGTGTGGCAATAAGTTCACATAGCTAAACATCCACTTTTTGTCGCGAAACTAACGCGAGAGAAAATTAATTTCCTGCGGTAAGGAGCACGCGACCGGAAATTGGCGATCGTGTTCCGTGCGATCAAGTATATTTTCTTCTAGACGCGTGAAACGACGAGCGGAATGCAGGCTTCTCATCGAAAATAATGATTGTCGATAATGCGGTACACCACTGACTTTCTCTGTTTTCAAACGGTTGATATATGTGCTGGATTTTATTGAAAAAAAGTTAAAGCTTAAGAAAAACAAGAGAATCTCGTTCCTAACCACTTCCTATAGATTTAAGTTCATGATATATGTATATATATCTTAAATTCCTTTTTTGCCTTCAAAGAATTTTAAGACTCGTATTAAACTCATTATAATTTCACTTAAATTTAGTTTTGTCAGGATTAAATTAAATTGAACGTTTCTTCTCGATTATGTCGAACGTAATTATACATAAGCATGAGCATGTATATAATTATAACGCCATCAAAATTTGTTCCTATGTAAAATCGCGTAAGCGTATATTAATTCTTAGAAAATCTACTGCAAAATTTAAAACTTTTCATAATTATTTTTATATAAATAAGAGTTTTATTTTAAGTCCCTTGAAAGATTAAAAATATATAAATACTGCATTGCCCACACTATCCTTCTTCTACTATCTTTCTCGCGGTGCATAATTATACCGGTTGTACGCAGAAAGTTATAGGTAATATTTTTTGCTCCAACGATCCGGCAAAAGATTTTTCATGCATAACACGCGTAATGAAATCTATACACCTGTTATCACTTGCGTAACGTCGCGAGAAAGTGACGTCCGCGGTCATATTATCGTTTCTGATAATACATATTCGGTAACTGTTTCAGCCAGGGTTGTATAAGTTAATGATTTTTTTGAATTAAGTTAAGTTAAAGTAAGTTGCTTATAAAATTAATTTAGTTAAGTTAAAAGTTATTGCATGAACAAAAAATTAACTCCATTAAAGTTAAAATTAAATTAATTGAAATTAAATCAAAAGTTAATTTTTAAAAACATTATTTATATTAAATTTTGTTTGTTAGTTCTTTTAAAATTTATAATAACAAATAACAAAGAAATAATTTTGATTTTTATACAGAAATATATTTTTGGTAATTACAATTGATGACAAATGAACATAAAAATTAATAATACTTTAATTTAAAAATAATACATTTATAACTTATTAAAAAAAACAATAATGGTATTCAGATAAAAAATTTAACTTATTGTTAGGAAAAAAGTTAATAAGTTTAAGGTCAAAAATAACTAGTTGAAGTTAAAAATTAATACATTTTAAATTAACTAAAGCTAAGTTAAAAGTTATTAACTTTTTAATTTTTTTAACTTTTGATTAATTAACTAGTTATTACCCAATCCTGGTTTCAACTTATTCTAATGACTATTACTTTTTTTCAGAACCGGTAGTTTGACGTGCAATGCCCGAGGAAAATGGCAGGGTGATCTACCGTTTTGCGGTGAGTATTCATTCTCTCGAGGTCTTTCCTTAAATCGCTAATAATAACGATATACCGTATTGTACAAAGTGACGTTCCGCATTATCATACGGCAATTACCGTTGTACATTTCGATAAGGCTGATTAATTCTTGATGCCCATAATTTACAATGTGCGCCCTAATTATTCTAATTACGCATCCTAATAATTCGTTCAGTGCATTCGCGTTCGTTTTCCGTCTGTCTCGGCTATAACAATCAACTTTCTCCATCACGAAATGAAGTTTGTTTTCGTGATGTGACTGGAAGAGGTGAACGCGACAGGGATCGTCGAATGAGAGTCACATTTTCGTCAGAGAGACCATCAAACTGCCAGTCTTAAAATTTTAATCAAGCCACTTTCCCTCGCTTTATATAGGGTGTTCCAAAATTATAATCAATTCTTTCAACTATGGCAAATAATATAGAATATAAGCAGCATTATAATAATGTAATTTTTGTGCATCATATATAATTAAAAATAAATAATTTTAGAAATTTGATTTCAATTTTTAGTTTGCCAAAATTTCATAACTGGAAGCCATATGTGTAAAAAAATACTTAATTATAAAAATCGTTAAATAATTTTGCGAGTCATATTATCGTGACATAAAAATTGTAAACCAATTGCTCGAGATTTCTAAATGGAAAAAAAATGACATTTATAGGTCATCTCTTGAAAGCGCTCGCGTTCAATGTATGAAATTTCTATTACATTCTTATTATAAATTAATCTCGCCGCGTTATTCTACAAATAATATCGGATTCGCAACAATCGATTTTTTCAAATCATTGAATTATTACGCGATTACCGTAAAAAAATTTTCTTTCCATAACTTTCCCCATAGTACGCAAAACATCCGACTATACAAGAAAATATAATTGTCATTGTTTGACGATAGCGGAACGATCCGCACCATTTCCGTAAAATAATGGCGGCACGATGTTGTGAATTATCCAGAAAATCATGTCTAGAGATATAAAACATGTATCGCGAAAAATATACATCGATACATAATACGGAACTATAACGACAAACTGGTGGCAGCTGTTGTCAATGTTTGAAAATTATTTATCATTATCACTGAGAGACGACTATCATCTCAGGGATAATAATAAATAATTATCAAACACATATACTGCCGTTAATGAGCGTTTTGCTATTTAATCACCATTTCCGCCAATTAACGATTGCGACTAAAGCGCGATTATTTAAACACTAAATAAGTTATAGTGCGATCACGAAATAATAATAAATTGATTAAATAAAAATCAGCTAAAAATTGATATTTTGAAGTTTGGTTTGTACAATTTTATTAAAGAGGAATTATAATAAAAAAAAATTTTAATTAAATTTGTAATTTTTAATTAAATTTTTATGAGAAAAGTGTAATAGGTTAAATAATAAATAATGTGACAGGTACAAATGTGGGTTTTCGCAAACCGGCAAATCAATCGACAACCGTAAGGGGCGGAAACGCAAATCACGGTAATGACGGTGACTTCAGTACGGAACATGACGGGAAAAGATGCACGGAAACTCAAAGTGAGCCCAGTCCCTGGTGGAGGGTCGACCTTCTCAAGCCGTATTCCGTCAAGGTTGTCCGGGTGACGACGCGAGGCTGTTGTGGTAAACAACTTCCGCATAATAATTTCATATTCAGGTCTTAAAAGGATATCTTGACATGTCATGACTCTCGCAATTATTTTATAAATCTTAAATTCTTAAATTATGAATAATATATTTTAATGAGTCTCTTGATATTTTGAAAAAAAAAAACATTATTTTATTAAACATTTTTATTCGAAAGAGAAGACTAAATGTGTCTAATTTTAAAGTAAATTAGAAAAAAGATGATTTAATATATGTATGTATAAGATAATTTTTTTTATCTTTCCAAAGCTATCTTAAGCTATCCCCACACAACTGTAAGTTCATTTTAAGACCTGACTATAAATACTACTAGCCGGAAGAATGACTTATCGATTGTTCCGTAGGTCATCAACCTCTTCAGGATATTGAGATAAGAGTGGGTAACAGCAGTGCTGAATTGCAACGCAATCCTTTGTGCGCCTGGTTTCCCGGTACTATTGGTAAGTGTTTCAAGATAGCTATAGACAATTAATAGGAAAAACATTCAGAACATTCTCGCACTTTTTGTTATTGTACTTCTTTATATTGTAAAAGACATATTCTGCATTAAATACTGTAAAATTTTCGAAAGATACTAGATCTGTCATTTTAACAACTTATTTATTTATTATAACTGTAGAAAAATACTTATAATTATTCTATGACGAAAAAAAATATTGTAAAAATTACAATATAATTTTTATAATCGTAAAATATGTACTAACATATAAAAGAAATTATATTTTTATTCAATATTATATGTACTTATATGTATTATATTTAAGAAAGGAGTACTGTAATAATTATTTAAATATTTTGTACAAATGCATCAATAATCAAAGGAACAAAAAGGTGCACTGTAAAATTTTTTCTATATATCAAATGTTTTAAAAATATTTAAAAAAAGATGTTCATTAATTATCTTAAAAATTTATATATTTTAAATAATTCCACGATATATATTTGAAGTTCTGAATGTTTCTTAAAAATTTAAAGCGAATTAATTAAAACCGAATCAAATTCACAGAGGAGGGTATCACGAAAACCTTCGTTTGTGCCAGAGCTCTAGTGGGCCAATACGTTTTTCTACAACTTGTTGGTGTCGAGGGTAGTTTAAGCCTATGCGAGGTGGAAGTTTTTGCCACGGATGGTAAGTTTTTAAAGCTTCCATAAAAAGCTTGAATTTACTTTGTCTTTTAATAGAAAAAGTAACTCGCCAACATGAATATTTTATTAAATAAATAAATAATGAAGAGCGTGAAAGTTAAGAAAAAAATAATCGAAAAAATAGGCGCAGTAAATATTTCCTAATAAGATGTGTGATTGGAAGTGTATAATTCTGATCATGTTAGAATAATCACATGTTCGATGAAAGAAACGCTAAACAAAATTTATAAATGTTTGCAGAATTCTCGATAGATAGGTGTGCACATGCCGGTACGCCCGCTGAAGCCGACTTAACCGCCTTCAATTCCACGTGTTATGAATTCATAGTAAAGAAGGGTGGTTCTTTCCAAGAGGCGAGAAATTATTGCAAGAACCGCGGAGGTGATCTCGTTCATGGTTTTCAGGTTATTATTATTTATTTCTATGTTTAAAATTTTCTTTTCTAAAAATATTGTATATTAATCTTACATATATGTGTCAAATAATTTTTAAATACGATTATATGTATGTAGATATATTTATAGGATGATCTAAAAATTATAGAAAAAATAAAAATTTTATTATAAATAAAATTAATGAAGATATTTTAATAAAAAAATATTTTTAATATTTAAAACTTATAAAAAAATAACATGCATATATATTATATTGTATTAATGATATATATTACATATTAATATATATTATAGAGAGATTGTTGCTATAAATTGTATTTAAAAATGAATATACAGTTTATTCATATTAAAATTAAAAGAGAGAAAGAAAGAAAAATCTTTAAAAAATGTTCTTGCAGACGAAAGAGCATTTAATGAAAGATATTCATAATATCCACAGGGCGTATCATCTATATTTATCCTGAATAATTTAGAAAGGCGAAAGGATAAATTGAAGACCCAGCTGGTCTGGATCGGAGCCCAGAAGGAACCGCAGATCACGGCTCGAACGTGGCGATGGGTTGACGGTAAGTTGGCAAAGTTTCGGCGAGTTATTCCCATTATTAACTATTACCCGTGAGAATCGGGCCGAGAGGGCGGAATTGGGTAATCCGAGGTGAGATTCGGTAATCCGATTGTCGATTCATTGTCCGGCGATTATCTAGCAATTACAGAATGATTACGCGACATCGTGTTATTTCGGAAGGGCGATTTTGCAAATTCGTATTCCGGCTTTTAGCTTCGAAAGGACGACGATCTCGTTCCGTAATGATGAATCAATCAAGTATCGTATAATCAACAGAACAAATTGTATCGCAAGGTAGAATCGTTACAGGCTTGCAGCCGAAGCATCGTCTGACGATAAATAGAACGTGAAAGTTTGCCATGTCGAAATCGCACAGGAAGTTACATCTTCTAAGGTGCAGTTCGTGCATCAATTAATAAATAGTCTTTTACTTACAAAGTCAACCGTCATTAACACCATAAAGTAATCAATAGTATTAATTAAATATAATTAGATAAATAATAAAATTCAAAATTGCTTTATATAAAAATGTAAATAATTTCATTGCAAAAATGTTGTCATCTTATATCAATTTTTAACTTCTTTGTATTAATATTATACATAATATATATATATATATATATATATATATATAATATATATATATGTATATGTATTATATCATATTATATATTATATATAATATAATTATATTTTTAATTATCATTAAAATAAGAAGGCTAAAAAATAGAGTGTATCTCGGGTTAGAATATATTAACACAAAATGATCATTATTACAGGCGAGATTGTGCAGAAGCCATCCTGGGGCAAAGACCAGCCGAATAATTACAACGGCGAACAAAATTGTGTCGTGCTGGACGGAGGTCGCGGCTGGCTCTGGAATGATGTCGGTTGCAACCTCGATTATCTACACTGGATCTGCCAGAGCAGTAAGTGTGGACAGCAATTTTGTTTATGTGAACAGAGGCAAATCCGGTTCTCACGAAAAAAAAATTTTCGCTTACCGTTGTTGAAAAAAACGAAGCTGCGCACAAAAATATTTCATAAAAATACCATGTTTTTAAAAACATATACCATTTTATTTTATTCGTTTTTTTTTTGCAGGACCGCCGATCTGTGGCAGTCCCGAAAAATCGGAGAATACTACGATTGTGGGATCCAAGAGAACGATAGGCTCCACGATAGAATATGTTTGCCCGGACGGTTATATGTTGGTTGGATCGAAGTCCAGAATATGCGGACCGAGCGGTTTTTGGAGCGGCGACGTGCCCACGTGTAAATGTGAGTATGAGACTTTAAAGGCGCGCCCTGGTCAATGCCCGTCATTCCCCTTCTTAGATAACGTCACGTGATAAATATGATCGCTCCTTGTTCTGTCTTTTAACTTTAAATTTTCTCTCTCTTTCCCTCTTTCTTTCTCTCATTCATCGATTACCCACTGAAAAAAAAATTTGTTAACTTGACTAAACCTTTCAACTAAATTACTATTTTGTTAATTGAACATATATTAGTATTTAAGTCAAATATGCGTTTTGTTAGATTTAATATGTTACATTTAATTTAAATATTTTTATATGTTCAATTAACAAAATAATATTTATATATAAATTGAAAGGTTTAGTCAAGTTAAAAAATTTTTTTTCAGTGCCCTTATCACTAGAGATGAAGAGTTACAGAAAGACAAAGACATATAATTAAATATAATAATTCAATCTTTGATACATTTTGTATAATATCAAGATTGGATTAAATTATCATTATATTTGTCGATTTAATTATTTAATAATTTTTTTTAATTTTCTCACAAACAACATAAGATTTCAAAAGATGTTGAAAGAATCTATACGTGAAATTAACTTCTTCAAAGAGGATTAATAATAGAAAATTATTTAAAAAAAAATTAAGAGTTAGTGTAAAGTTATTTTTTAAATTTCTACCTTTCTGAATTTTTTAAATGATTATTTTATTAGATATGTGTGTGAATAAAAATTAAAAAACAGATTAATGTGTAAAATGACATTAAAATTTATTTTTTTTCGAATATTTAAAGAGGTTAATTCTCTTCACGTAGGTGTTTAAAGAATGTTTCAGAAAGAAGTCTTTTGTATTACGTTATCCGTATATAAGAATCGCACAATTATATTTAATGCTAAACATACGGCGTAAATGTATGAGCCACATTCATCACGAACGACCTTCGTCATCTTTTAAATATTTTCAGTTGTCGACTGCGGCGTTCTACCGGATTTGGAGAACGGTGCTGTCACTTTACTCAAGGACAGAACCACGCACGGTGCTCTCGCGGAGTACACGTGTAAAGAAAATTACACGCTAGTGGGTGACACAAGACGAAGATGCGGAGACGGTGGTATCTGGAGCGGACACCAGCCCCAATGTCTATGTAAGTATAGAGTATGCTTTTCACATTTATATATAACTATACTTATTCCAAATTTTTTCTTACACGTTTTGAAAAAGATATTTGCGAATTAGATATTTAGCCACTGCAAAATTGCATTTAAATGCATAAAAAATTAAATATTGTATACACACACAGAGAAATATTTTTAAATTAAATATATTAATAAATTTTGAAAAATAAGGTACACATTTTCATAAATAAATTTTATTATAAATAAGATCATTAATAGACCAATATCAACTTCTTGTCATTTGTTTTCTGCATACAATGTGTGGATACTATATCTAATTAATTATAATTATAAAATCCCATGTATTATTGCTAATTAGACATTATTAATTTATGTTAGCGTGTAAATAAAGAGTTGCGCTTTAGTATACTTTCCACCTTGTCATTCCGTCTGCGATTACACGACTAATTACTTTTACAGTTGACTGGTGTCCCGAGCCACCGGAAGTGAATGGCGGCGTTGTGACAACTAACGGAAAAAGAGTGGGCTCTATTGCTACTTACTCCTGCCAAAATGGATTTATTTTGTTTGGTGATAATGTAAGCTTTCGTCTTTTAATTAGTTATGCTAAAAATTATGGTTTACGAAATTTTTCCTATTTCCTATTTTCCTATTTTTATATTAAATTAATTATTTAATATATATTTAATATATATTATATAGTTAATATATAATTTAATCTACTTATATATATTAAATATATATTAAATTATATATTAACTATTTATTAAATTAATTATTTAATAAATGTATATATTGTATATGTATATATGTATATATATGAATGAAAAAAATTAAAAATACATATATAAAATTTAACATATATAAATACATATTTGCAAATAAGATAAGAGATATTTTATATGTCTGATCTGATAATTAAGGTTCTCACATGCAATATCGGGGGCGAATGGTCCGGCAAGACGCCGCAGTGCCGATTTGTCGATTGCGGGGCTCCGGCTCAGATTGAGTTCGGAACAGTCGTCTTAACTAACGGCACGACTACAGTGAACAGTTTAATCGTCTACACGTGTCGACAGGATTACTGGTTGATAGGCGAAGGAAAACAAGAATGCACCAAAGAGGGCAAGTGGAGTCAGGATACGCCATCGTGCGAATGTAAGAATTATTTAACAAAAATTAGTTTCTCTCGAAAAGATTAAAATTATATTTATGAAAAGTTTCACGCAATAATAAACTTTAATAGAAAAGAAAAAATCTTTTTTTTTATATTTGAAAAGTATAATTTCAAAAGAATAAAAAATATTAACTGTCTTTTTTTCATTAAAAAAATTTCTTTGTATGATGTTTAATTTATTCTGTATACTTATGAATATATATATATATTTTTTATAGTAATTACGTGCGAGGAACCGGAAGTACCGAGAGGAGGATACGTGGTGGCCTATGATCTTAATCATAGTGTTCATAGTGTTATCGAATATCACTGCGACTTGGGTTATTTACTTCACGGTGAGGCCAAGCATTCATGCGGCAAAGATGGAGAATGGACGGAAGAAGTTCCGAGTTGCGAGTGTAAGTCAATCTCTCTTGTACTTATTTTCCATCCCCGGGACAAAAATTTTTATATATCAAAATTATATAGAAATATATAAAATTATACATATAGTTGCAAAATTATATATGAAATATGTCTATACATAATTAGGTAAAAGTATTTTTTATATAATATATAATTATATATATATAAATTTATATATATATATATATATATATATATATATATATATATATGTATATGTATACATATATTGACATGATTATATATGACATGATTTGACATGATTATATATGAACCTTTATTATTTATATATAATTACCCTTATAAATTTATATAATTATGTATAAAAATGGACAAATTTCACATATAATTTTACGATATATATGTATAATTATACAATTATTTATACAAAATTTGTTCCCGGATCAAAACAACTCGAGTGACATAATCGCGTTACATTATGAAAGTAGTATGATTTAGAATCAAGGTCGTCTTTGCTATTAAAGGCCTTGGTCTTAAATGAGATCCTAAATGAGAGCCTATAATTGAGAGCAGCTTATTAGCATTCAAGAAAATGTTTAGAAAAATATGCTTTTTCTATTAATAATAATATTGATTGCAAATGCTAAAAACAATTACAAATGATTCTAAAAAAGATTATGCAAGCAAATTTGAAATATCTTAAAGCTGGTCACTTTTAAAATTTTTCGCTTTAAGATCGATATCGATCTATCTCCGGTTAAGACTTATTCGCACTTAAAAATGTCGCGTTTTCAGTTATGTGAATGTATACCTGACTTTAAAAAATTAATTTTTTAATACAAAAAATAATAGTATTTCGTTCGTGTAGTCATAAAAATCAAAAAAATTAAAATTATGATCAACATCCAACTTTATCATAACTCAAATCCGAATACGTAGTCTTTTTTAGAATCGTTTGTATAGTGATTTTCGTTTCGTTTGTAGTTGCACGGTTTAAAAATTACAATAGTTTAAAGAAATTGTCAAAAGTGATTTTCGTCAATTTTAAAGATTTTTAAATACTTTTCATCGATATAAATTTCTATTGCGAATGCTAAAAACAATTACAAACGATTCTAAAAAAGATTGCGCAAGAGGATTTAAAAAATCTTAAAGTCGGGTGCTAGTCATCCTTTTAATTTTTTACATTTTTTAACTGATAAAACTGATGAACAAACGAAGTTATTGTTACTACAAACAACTGCAAACAAATTGCTATTGTTTTCCGCATTAAAAAATTCATTTTTAAAATGGGTTTTGAATTACATATAGCTATATAGATAATACAAGAGGAAATCCATATCTGAAGTATGATAAAATTTTTAAAAATATGTATTGTAAAAATTATGTATGTTTTTTTGTAATTCTATGTAGAATTATAATTTCTTTTATAATATAGAAATAGAATGTGTTTTCTCCTTATATGCATATATTTTTTAATTGTGTTCTGATCGCTCCTAAGATTATACTGATTAGAATAATTATTATATCACAGATATCGATTGCGGCAAGGTTCTTCCGGTTTTGAATGGTGCTGTGGATTATGCGAACGGAACGACTCATCTGGGCAGTGAAATTACATACAGTTGCACGAGGAATTACAGATTAAATGGAGTTTCAAGAAGATATTGCCTGGACAACGGTCAATGGAGTGACGCTACTCCGAAATGCGAAGGTATGAACGTATCATAAAGTATCATTAAAGTGAGATTAAGTGAAATTCAAAGAGTTGCGCGATATTATAGCTGAAAATCTATTCATATTTCTCTTCTATATAAAACACGTTCATAAAAGACACGATCACGATGGTGTCCAGCAGACTCAATGAAAAAAATCCTCTGACTTTTTCAGATTTTCCAAGACCAGAAATTAATTATTTCCCTGACTTTTTAGTATTATTTTTTCCAAATATATAATTTGCATTTATCTATATAATAAACCAATTAAATGTTAAATCATGAAATTCTTGAGATATTTTATTTTTGTCAACAATGAAAAGGTTCCGAAGTTAAAACAAAAATTTAAATCAATTATACAATCTGCATTATGTAAGATTATCAAAACAAACATATCACTATAAATTATTTAAATAATCACTTTTTTTATTCACTGTAGATGAATCAATTTTTAATAACACAGAAAATTAGCGTGCTGGGAGTCAAGAAAAAGTTTATATTTATTTACTAAAAAATTTCAAATTATTGAGACAAATGTAGAATAATGTGAAAAAATCCAGATAAATATAGTAAAATTTCCTGACTTTTTCCCTGACAATTCCAAATTTATAAAATTCCTTGACAATGCCCGGTTTTCCAGATTTCCCTGACTGCTAGACACTCTGACATTTGTGTATCGACTTTCCCGATATATTACAAAAACTTGGCCGCGAGTTTTACGAGAATCCAATATTTATATGCGCTCAGATTTCATGAAAATTTATTATGTTTCTCATCTCAGAGATTCGTTGTACGGAGCCTGTACTAGCGGAACACGGAATTCTTTCGGTGACCGGAAACGATCGAATGTACGGAAGGACACTGATTCGCACAGGAACCGCGGAAAATTCAAACACGGGTGCGACTTCATATAAGATCGGGGCCTTAGCAAAGTATAGGTGCGAGAGAGGATACAAAGTGGTCGGAGAACCTCTGTCTACCTGCGAGGAGAATGGAAAGTGGAGCGGCGAAGTACCGCAATGCGTCTGTAAGTATACATATCTAGACACTCTAACTCATCGGAAATTGCATTCTATCGGATCAATCAATTATGTATACACATGTTAGTTTATGTAGGATAAATAACGGTTAACGACCCATTCAAAGGATCCTCTCCTTTAATAACTAATAAATTTTTTTTTAGCTAAAAATTGTTGGATATTGTGTAAAATATTATTCACGATTTTTAAAGCTATAAATAAATTAGAAATAAAATGTCAAATGTGATATTTATTATACAAGCATTCTTCTAACAGATGTTGACTGTGGTAAACCCGAACACATTCAACACGGACATTACACGTTGACGTCGAATGCAACGTACTATGGTGCAGCTGCACTTTACGAATGCGACGGTAATTTCGAGTTAGATGGCTTTGCCAGAAGATTGTGCCTTGAAAACGGTACCTGGAGCAGCGATACTCCTGTCTGTCGAGGTAATCTCGAAGAGATATTTAATTCTTTATTAAACCTTGAATAGCCGAACTGTCATTAATGTCAAAAGTAAAGAAAACAATTTTTAGTTTAATTATTTTATTTAAAAATGCATTAATTATAATTATATTATTATATTATATTGTATTATATTGTATTATATTATATTATATTATATTATATTATATTATTATATTATATTATGTATATTTAGCAAAATTAAAATGGCAACCGAATGGGATTAAATTGCAGCGAGATTAACTAGAGTCTACATTTACAGAAATTCGATGCAAAGATCCTGAGAAAACCGGTGTACTATCGACGCAAGTATCAACTCACAGTGTAGGTGGAGTGGCTCATTATAGCTGCCCACGTGGATTTTACATGGAAGGAAATGAAACTAGGATTTGTTTACAAAATGGATCTTGGAGCGGCACAACGCCCGCTTGTTTCTGTAAGGAATTTATCCATCAGTAATATTACTTTTTTATTTTTAGCGTAAGAAATCTCTCTAATTTATCTTTGAGGTACTATATATTTTCAACGATATTGCCATATATTTTCGTAATCATTTTTTTCTAAAATTTTCTTTTTTATTATACGGTTAAGGAAATGACATTCTGCAAAAATATTTTCAAGGATATTAATATTTTCAGATTAATCTGTGTGTAATAAGTACTCTTCTTCTTGAACAAATTAAAAGAGCTTAAGATTCATTCGCGATATTTTTCAGCTGTAGATTGCAAGCATCCGGGATCGATAGAGAACGGTCGAGTGATAATAGTGAATGGATCGACGACTTACGGAGGAGCCGCGGAGTATCACTGTTTACCGCAGTATGAAAGAGTCGGCATATTCCTGAGAAAGTGTATGGACACAGGATTTTGGAACGGCGAGGAACCAAAATGCGAATGTAAGATATCTTTTGGAATACCTAATATATTTTATATTTAATTATTTTAGATATTTCAAACATTTTAAATATATTAGATATTATTAAATATAATTAAATATAAAATATATTAGGTATTCTAGATTTTTGAAGAAACTACATATATATATATATATATATATATATATATATGTATGTATGTATATATAGTTTCTTCAAAATATTAAAAATTATTTCATCAAGTACCAAGAGTAGTAAGCAACTCGAAATAAATCGCAAACTGTTAATTTTAATGTCTCGGGAAAATAAATTTGTTTATGAGATTGAGAAACATTCAAAATACTTAATATAAAAAAATTATTCATATTGCAGTGGCTGCGAACGAAGTGGCAGAGCCTCAAGGTGTTGGGACGAGCGTCGGTATCGGAGCTGGCGTGATTATATTTATATTAATTATTCTCGGACTAGTCTACCTTAGGCTGTAAGTATAATATATCGTTCTTCAAAATAGATCTCAAAAATAATTTGAAAATGTATTAACGCACCGATATATTCATATACATAGGCGAAAAGCTACGCCGGTGAAAAATACCGAGAATGTTCAGGCAGCGGAAAGAAAGGAGGATCAAAATGCTGCCGTTATGTCTTACGCAACATTGAACGACGGCACGCCTAATACTATGTATGAAAATGTCCCCGAAGATGGTCTCTATGATAATCCATACAGTTTAAGTGGTAGTGCATATAGGTAAATTTGCGAATATTTAAAGAATTTACAATAGAGCCATGAATAATGTAACTATAAGATATAATATCTTATATAATATCAATTAGAGTGATTGGAATTTTATAAAATTTATATTGGAATAACAATTTTATTAAATTAACTGCTAGTATAAAATTATGCGTAATTATGTACCGTAAAAATAGATTAAAAAAAATTTTTTATATAATTTAAAATAATTTAATTTAAAGAGAGGATAAATAGAATTTATATGATTTTAATTGATAAATTAATATGTTTGCAACAGGTACAACGGACAGCCGAGAAGAACGTACGGCAGATCTGGACATTACGAGGCTGAACCGGTTCCTAACAGAAACGGAATAACTATCAACGGCGTATCTGTGCGATAGTTCGAAATTCCATCGGCCCTCTTTGTCTTCATCGAGAATCGCGCGCAATTTTCGCCGTTCGCAAGACGATACCCCGGGAAAAATTTTTTATATATAATAATATAAAATTATGCATATAATCGCAAAATTATATATAAAATTATATATGAAATATGTCCATACATAATTAGATAAAAGTGCTTTTTATATATAATTATATAAATTTATATAAATTTATATATATAATAAATATTTCTTTATATATATACATATGTATAATGTTTCATATATAATTTGACATGATTATATATGAACCCTTATAATTTATATATAATTTATATAGAGAGAATTTTAGTACACTAATTTAATTATGTATAAAAATGGACATATTTCACATATAATTATGTATAATAATATAATTATATATAAAACATTTTTTCCCGGGATTTTATGTACAGAAAATACCGAAGAGTTTGTTATCGTTATTTATATATTATCGCCCATCGAGGATGCAATAATTCATGTAAATAATTTTCGCGAGAGAATGTATAAAAGGACGAGCGTAAAAAGATTTTAAAGCGGATTGTATGCTGACGACGTTCGTTCTTTCAAGGAGATTAATTAATTAATTAATTAATTATATTCTCCGAGGATCAACTATATGTGTGTACGATTCTGTATATACGGTGTATTGATCATTTAGATTTATTATATTATACGTAGACTTTAAGTGATACGTTGTAGTATAAGTTTACGGTCGTAACGTAAATAAAGAAAACAGTGCTCTTGTTGTACTTGAACATTTCGTTATACTTTATTTCGCTCTACTTTTTCAGCAAAAAATTAAGATAAATTGTCTGTTACTGATATTAATTTAAAATTGATTAATAATAATTTTTTAATATTTATATATGATGCAGTTCAATAAATAATAGATTTCATGTATTCTAAAAGATTATATAAATATACTTCAAAATAATTATCGGCAAGGTAAAATAATTTCAAAAAATAATTTCAGAAATAATTTAAATTTTATAGGCTGTTGAAAAAACAATATACAATGTATATCGTAAAAGTTTAGATACAAATGTAAAGTATATTTAATTTAAACATTTTTTAGGTAAGTATTTAGGTAAGATGATTTATATTTACATAATCTGATAAATAACAATGTACTATTACAGTTAATAATAACTTCAGCACTCATTATTTTAGTAACTGCGTTCAAGAGTGCACAATTTGCATCGTAGATAAAGAGAAGAAACTCAAGTTATAGAGTTATTATAATCATTTAAATTTTCTGACAAATATTATAATAAAATATATATATTAAATATTTGCGAGATTATTGATTTGATAAATATAATAAAAACATTTTATTTTTTGCGACTAAAATAGTTATTTTCTTTATTGTCATAAAAATTGCATGTAAATAAATTTTTGAATTTTTAAAATAGTTAATTTAAAAATACTTTTTTCAGTTTTTAGTGATTGGAAATTAACAAGATCGAGATTATAAAAGATTACGAAACGATAAGTATATTATTAGTCTCTTTTATATCCTTATATGGTTGCAAGTCAGTACAAGTTACATTAATCCATGTATGGAAGTGAGTTCAGGACTGTAATTATAAGTCAAAAAACTTTTAACAGCTAAATATGCTTTACATTTACATATGTAAACTATTGCTATATGTAAATATTATGTTTCAACAGCTTATAAATATTATATTGTTTCTAATTATTAATATCTTGCCTATTTTCTTTCATATTAATTTTTTAATATATACTCGATACTGCTTTTAATTCGAAAAATTTCAATTAAAATTCTGTGTGTTCAAAATTTATTAAAATATAGCAATTTTCACAAAAAAATGTATATTATAAATCTCATTATTATTTGCTTGTAATATATAAATTAATGTGTTGTCATTCAGAGCGCAATTCTGATTCTGATCGACTATTGGCAATGGCCTGATATTTTCTCCATTTACAAACTTCGCGATTCTCGTATACCCATTTGACCAGCAGCAGCACCATCTTCCAGTAGATGGTGTTAGTTGATCGGGTGTGGTGAATAACCATAGAGTGACGCGAATGTGACTCAGTGTTCATCGTGAAGCTTCGGTCCGTTCTAGTTTCCAATTTTTAGACGTTTTCCGAGTCTCTATTTATTGTTCACCGAGTGAGTATGCTTCGGCCTATCTCCTTAAATCGGGCGAATAATCGGGCTATCGAGCAAAATCTTCGTATTTTTCCCTGAACACAGTTCCAGCATGTGAAACCTCGACGATTTGACAGCACATTTTACTCTTGAAAGAGCGGCCATTATCATTCAGTTACAGTTTACACAATTTTAGTCGTGACTAATTAAAGCAAAAAAGATTGCTATTCCTAATGAAAAATGATAGAACGTAAACAGGATATTTCTTGGTTAGGTTATGTATATTTACATATACGAGTCTGGAAGAAATATGCAAGTGTCGTGGCGTGCGCAGTGCCGTAGATAGCGAAAGATGCAAAAGGCATCATGGTGTAGTCAGAATCGAAACAATGGTTTTAATTTTAGTACACTAAAAATAGACTAGCACTAACTCAATAAATTTATTGTGTTCACAATAAATTTATTATAAGTATTCAAATAAATTTATCGCAATTAATTTGTAATATACTAAAATTTTCGTTAAACTGATTTTGACAGCACTGAAAGAGACACGAGGGGAAAGTAGGACGAATTGAGATGAGTAAGCGCGAGTACATAAAAATTACTGCAGAATTCGCAACCTATCGAGTGTATTTCCTTTTAAGGAAAATTCCATTTATTTTTCTCAAATTATATGCATATATATTTTATACATATTAAATATAGAAAACGGAAATGTACGAAATATTCCTAAAGTGTACAAAGTACGTAATAATAAATATTTTATGAGTAAAAAATATTATATGAGAAAAAGATGTTTTAAAAATTAGTATTAAAAAAGTATATTATATACATATACTTTGAACATTTTTTTATTCAATTTCTTAAACTTTTAAAGTAGATATATTTTTAAAATACATATATATTTATCGAAAATGAATAAGAAATTTGGCTGATAAAAGCTATAGGTAGTGGTGGAATAAATTGTATATAAAGCAGAGGGCATTTGAATATACAAAGAGAGTGATGAACCCTTAGTCTCGTTTCCGTCCAAGTCTTATTTTTACTCCAATTTCAGTCACTTGGATATCCTGAATTGATTAGCCGAAAATAAACGCTAATGGCAACTTGGGAGTTCTCTGTCTCGTCGTGATGTTTGTTTGAAAAGAACGCGTCTTTGTTTCCCTAAAATTCTAAATTTATGGGATGAAAAAAATCAGTTTATTTTTCAAACAAACAATCTATTTCTACGAAATATCTGCTCTGCGAATAAAGTATGCGCTTCAAGTATTGTTTCTTCAAATGTATGATTTATTAGAAAAATTGGTTTAATTTTAAAACACAATGTCTCAGATATAGACAATAAATTGTCGATTATTTTAAATTCTAAAAAAAAAAGAAATAAAATTCAAAATTTATGAAAAAAATAATTTTACTAGAAATTTAGATTTTACTAGATTATTTAATATTCAATATATATTCATATAAGATCAATTTTATAACATTTTATGAATAAATTTGCAGAAATAGAAAATGTTCATAAATGCCATTAATTAAGACTTTTTTAATTTGTCAGATTTAATATGAGATTATTCAGAAACATAATTAAATTTAATTCTTGTTTCTGTAGGTGCAAAATGTCTTCCCGTAAAACTGCCGGACGTCGTGCTACTACAAAGAAACGTGCTCAACGTGCAACATCAAATGTTTTCGCGATGTTCGACCAGGCACAGATCGCAGAATTCAAAGAGGCTTTTAACATGATCGATCAGAATCACGACGGATTTATTGACAAGGAAGATTTGCACGACATGCTTGCCTCCCTGGGTAAGCAAACACAGAAAATTCAATGACACATTTTTACGACTTATTTACACAAAAATAATGCCCTACTTTTTTTTTGAAGTCGAAATAAAATGTGGAATTTGAAAAAAAAATTAATTTAATTAATTAATTTTAGATTTATTTTAATTTTAGATTAATTAATAAATTAAACTTTTATAGGTAAGAATCCTACTGATGAATATTTAGAGGCAATGATGAATGAAGCACCTGGACCTATCAACTTCACAATGTTTTTGACATTGTTTGGAGAGAGATTACAAGGACTGATCCTGAAGATGTAATCAAGAATGCTTTCGGTTGTTTTGATGAAGAAAATACTGGTCATATAAATGAAGAACGTCTTCGTGAATTGCTTACGACAATGGGTGACAGGTAATAGTTCGTAGATAAAAAACCATATGTACTTTGACGTCAATACTTCAGATAAATTCACAAATTATAAATATATATTTTTTATAAATATATATATATTTATAATATATATATATTTATAAATATATATTTAAAATTATCGAATTATTATAGCAGAGTTAGTAAAATATTTAAGAATTAAGTTTTTCATTTCTTTGCACAAAGATTTTGTTCAAAGAAGAGAGATCAAGCAATGATTAGCCAGTAATAACTGGCTAATATACAATTTTACTATATCTGTTAATTATATAATAATACTATCATAATTGTAATAATTGACCAGTATGTATTGTCTATAAAGGGCATGTTCTGATATTACTCTGCCCTAATACTGAAAATATATAACATACGTAACGTAAACTATAGCTTTTCAATATTAGCAATGTATATCGGAACATGCCTGTAGTTGATTATTCTTTCTATATTCAATATTTATTAATTATACTTTTAAGAATCTGCTAAATATGATATTAATAATATATATTTAAGATTTTTGTATAATGCAAAACGAATTCTTTTTATCTTTAGATTCACGGATGACGACGTAGACGAAATGTATCGCGAAGCACCAATTAAAGGCTCGATGTTCGACTATCTGGAGTTCACTCGAATTCTGAAGCATGGTGCAAAAGACAAGGACGAGCAGTAGTATGCGGATTAATTTTAAAAGACCGTGTATCCTGACACGAAATCGTAGATAGTATTCGAAATTCCTTGTATGCATTTCGCATTTCTGAATTCATCGGATTTTTATTCACGCAATATTATTAATAAATATATTATTAATAAATAATAGGAGAATATGGTGATACGTATGAAGCAACTGAATTATAAGAAATTGTAATCTCTCAGTAGATGTAATCTCTTACTAAGAGCATTTACTTGCATTTCATATTTCTATAAAGGTCGAAATAATTATATTACTTGAATAAGTAAGTGATGTATTTAGAAATGCGTCATTCAAAAAAATCTTTTTGAAGTATTCAACTATAACCATTTTTTGTGAATGATTTCTGTACAGCCAACAAAAGTTACACGCATAAGATATTTATATATATAAAACGAACATGTAACTGTTGTAGAGATTCAGCATTTATATTTTAATATAATATTCTGTTGCATATGAAAAGTTTGCAATTATTTCTTTGAACCAACTAAAAAATTATTATGTAATGACGCAAAGATATATGTAAATTTAATTTTGTCTTACTAATACTAATAATATATATGTATAAGTTGTTATTTATTGTGTTTGATTTGGCTCGAGTAATAATTAATGCTTCTTTAAGATTTTATACCTTTCATAAATTATAAGAGTTTTCATAGTTAATTTAGAAACATTTTAAGCAATTTTCTTATGATAATTTGTTCTGATAGTATTAATTTTAAGTACATTTTTCTGGATAAAGAAACGATTTCTTGAAAATCTGACTAATTAGGCACAACTATTTAATATTTTTACGTTAAGAAAGAATTAATAAAATATTTTAGATATTTTTTCATAAAATATAAATTCTACATAAAAAACATTCTACGCAAGAGACTCTACGTAAGAAAATTCTTGAGATAATAGAAGTAAAGTAATGGGTATTGTTTTCTTAGAAAATATGATGGGATTGAATAAGTAGTTACTAGTGACATGTAATTACGAGTAATCAGAAATGATAAATACATGTTCTAAGTTTAAGTGGAAAGTTAAATACACAAAAAATTGTGAAATTTCTTTCTTGCGTGTATCTATTGTCAATTTCACACGCACATGAAATAATCTCTTTCCTACTAATAACATACTATTGTATATTATAATAGATCTATTATGTACATGTAAATATCTTGTTTTGTACATTTCACAAAGCATTTTCTTTAATTATTTGAAAAATTACTGGGAAATTCAAACTGATTTTTTGATTTTTTGCAACAAATTCTATTAATAACGCAATTTATTCTGTAATATTCAATATTTTTAATTTGTACTTTAGAGTCTTTTTCTCAATAATAATTCTAATTTATTTTATATGTATATTCATAAAAAATGGTATATAATTGAACTAATTAATGTTGCGCAAAAATTGCTACAGTGGGTGACAGAAAGTATATTAACTACAGAAAATAATGAAAAATTCTTTTAAACAAGACTGACCATTCGCTGAATGCCGACGATAATCCAATAATCTGGTAATCCCAAAAAGTAATCCCAATTGGCACATAATTTCACTGATTTTCAACAATGCACTTATCACTTATTAACATTTCTCAATAAAACACTGTTGTCACTATATGTCACTCACGAAATCGCGATATCATATATTTATCACTCTCGAAACTTTCGACACTGCCGATTTTCTCAAAGTATATACTGTATAAAAAAAACTCGGTACTTATTTGAATTCTCGACGAAATTTACACGAAGACAAGATCGATCTAACGACACCGAAATTCCGATATCACTACCGAACGAACACGATAGCGCGAAGATACTCCGATGCTGCACTTTTCCTCCGCTCCACACGAGTTCAAATATATCTCAATACTTGTAAACGTTTGATCAAGCGTTTCGTTGTCGCGTGAGCGCGATTTGAACGATTTTACATGGTACTTCGCGACTTCTTCCGACTCTTTCGCGCGCGTTTCGCGCTCAACGACCTCCATCTTGTGACGTAACGCTGTGAAGTTTGCCTCTCGACTCAGAGCCGCTTGCGATTCTCGAAGCTATCATGGAAGCTGTCGGAGCTAATGTCAGACAGTATGCAATTTATTCCCGAATCGTCCTTCACGTATTTTTCGCAATTTATTGTAACAATGCGTAGCCCTCGACCTTCGGAAAATCGCGTATCCTTCATTTGACGAAGAAAAACGAGCAAAAATCGCGAATCTCTCCGGAATTACCACGGGTTATGTCGACCGAACCGGCAATCGTCCCGTGTCGCGAAACTCGTGCAGAGCCGAGATATTCGAGCCACATCGTCGCGTCTTTCGAAAATACTGCAGGAATATCGTACGACGCGACTGAAGAAGCCGAGGAAGAATACTTCACCGAAAAACAACGGACGATTTCCCGCGGATCGCGCGATGCTTCACCTCGGGCCTCGACTCTTCAGCGACTGTAACGGTCAATTGAACTTGACCATTGTCTATTGGTACTAGTCATTAGTGCCAACTTACCATAAATTTTCATGCGTATGGGGGCTTTATTTTTAAATACGTGACTTTTGTCTTTGCGAAAAATAAGGTATTAAATAATCAAATAAATGAAAATTAATTAAAATAAAATGATTAACGAAAGTAAAATAAAATAAAATTATTTAAAAAAAAATTATTTGTGTTTCTCGAATAAAATCAACATGATGCACAAAAATTTAGAGATGAGAAAATCAAACCAGGCTAATGAAATTAACTGAGTACATGTATCAGAATAAACTTTATTAAAAAAATATATTAAATGTTTTAAGTAAACATTAAAGTAGTGTGTTTGTGATAGAAATAATTATATTTATTTTTTCTCTTTATAATATTTTTGAAGTTATAATTGATTTTTCGAATCTTAATTATTAAGATTTTTTTTAATCGAAACAATACAAATCTAAAAGCGGTTTATAGAGCTAGGCGCAAAGTGTAGCAGCGTAAATAAAATAAAACAATAACTTGTAACATAAACAAGTTTATTCAATATAAACTTTACGGTCCGTTCTGATTTCTTAAAGTTTTAATATAACATTACATGATAATATTTACGTATGTAACAAAAGAATTATTAAATTTTAAATATTATAATAAATTCAAATAAAATTTGATTTAAAATTTATTTACTTTTGGAAATTTTATTCATTAATTTATCATTCGTTTAATGATAATTGATTTTTGTAAAGAAGGCGTCTTTGGTGTTTTTTAAAAAAATGACAGCTACTTTTATTTTCGCACAATAAATATGTTCTGTATTATTAGCGTCTAAATTTATCTGTTAAAATTTAGAAAAAAAATGTTGATTTTTTATTTTATAAGTAGGGATAATATAATCTAATTTTACATATTTGTATTAAAACTCTATGTTAATTTTATACAAAATTTATTTTCAATAATAATGACTGAACAATAACTAGATAATAAATAAAAAGTTCTATACTTACATAAAAATATCGATACATTTTTTAATTTTTTCGCGCATTTATAAAGCATATAACTGTACGTGTACGATACAGTTATTCCATTTTTCGATGTTATTATAAATAAAGCTAAATTGCTGCTATTATTATATACATTGTAATAATGAGTTAAATAATTATCGTTTTTAAAATTTATTACATTAAAGTTTGCATTGCGACTGCTAAGTTGAGACTGCATTTGAAATATTTGATATACTATATAGATGGAAATTAATAATTAAAACAATAGAGATTCTATTAATAATCAGAATTATATAATTATTTCTTTAATGTGCATTTAATTATATTAATATAAATTTAATTATAAAAAGTCATTAACATTAGAACTGATACTGTTATTGCAAATGATATAAATGTAAGCACACCATTGCTTGATATAGCAGAAAATATAATACTGTGATTATGTAAAATATTATTTTATTAATAATAATTAATGTATCGATTATATGTATTTATCTCTTTATTAATAGTATCGCATAAAAACACATATATTTATTTGAACATATTGAAATTTTATTTTTATCAAAAAAATTATGTACATTATTAGTACATCGTAATTAATACATTTTCAGTCACACGCATTAGCTAGTCAAATACATAATCTATAATTCTCAAATGTGGTGAGCAATGATGGTCCCATTATAAGTATGATATAGGCAGTCTTCCGATTGTGGTATTCTTGCTGTTTATTTAAACACATTTTTATTCTTTAAAAAACAATTAGTCATCAGTATAAAACAGACTAAAACTGTTAGTGTCGAAATTTTTCATGTAATTCGTCTAATGTGAATAAACACATGATTAATTTTTTTATCCAATATTTGCTCGTCCAAACAAAACCACAATTCAGTATTATTATTAAAGATTTTATAAGATATTGTATTTATAATCCACATAAATTATAGTAAATTTAGTTAAAATTATTTCTGTTAGTATATAATTATAGATATATGAGATATTATATATATATATATATATATATATATATATATATATATATATATATATATATATATATGAATATTTATATACAATATTTATATAAATATGTTATATGTTATATATTATATATACTATGTTATATAAAATATAAATATGTTAACTCTATTAACTATATGTAATAATTAAAAAATAATGGTTATCTAGATAAAAAAACATTTTTTAATGTATGGCGATGCCTAATTAGAAAATATACTTTTAATATATGTTTTTGATAATTTGATATCATTTCATCCTAAACATATTATATATTTGTATATTTGAATATATAATTATGGATCTTACAAAATATAGAATATAAAAAGATAAAAGCTATTTGTAGAAAACATAATTATGGATTATACAAGATGTTATTAAAATACTAAAAAAATGACAGTTATCTAGATAAATAAGATATCCATTAATGTTTATAGATGTTCAATTAAGAAATAATTTTAAAAATGTTTAATAAAATATAAGTTTGTGTTTAACTTAATTTGATATAATTATAAGATCATTTACGCTGTGTATATGATATGTCAGTTTTGTCTTATTTCATGAATTACCCTGAATACGATTTAATTCATTAAAACGACGATGCTGTTAATTATAAATATAGTAAATAATTGTCTAAGTTCATGATAATGCAATGTTCTCATAATTTTTTCCGAAATCTCTGTGTGTGTTGTTGAGGCGTTAATTCGAAGACTTGTTAACCTACATTAACATAAAAAATTTAATTGTTAAAAAAATTTAGATTAATGAATATGACGGTTTTTTATTATATGAGTTGTTTAATATTAACAGATTCAAATTGTTACTATTAAATTTCACCTTATAATTTATTTATTCGAGAGAACTCGAGCTTTCATTAGTAAATATTTGTTAGATTCAAAAAAAGATCCGAATATTTAAATAAAAATAGAAATTTTCAAATTATATGTAAATTATAAATCGACATTTGATAACATATGTAAGTGTAAAATTTGCCAAATAAAGTTGATAATTAGACATTTATTATAAAGCTTTTAAAATACAAGTGTATGCAATATAACTGATTCGAATATTTGTAATTTTTAACACAGAAATTCTAATATTTAAATTTAACGTGTTTATTGTTTATAAAAATGTATGCAAGTAATTGAGGAAGGGTAACAAATATTATTTTATCAGTTTTCAAAGTTACTGTTAAAATTTACCATTACTCTGCTCTTGTTCATCTTCTTTTGCAATAGGATGAAAATCTTATTGTACTTGGAGAAGCAAGGCGATGGTAAAGGACCAAGTGTTTGAATAATTTTAGTGTCGATTCGGAAATTTTTTTGCCACAATTTACCCTTAGGCATTGTGCTATAATTTTTCCATCGTTTGTAATATACCGTTGAAATTTGTTCGTCATCCATTCGTAGAGACCTGGATTGTATAACGTCGGCAGATGTTGATTTATTAAATGTTTCATTAGCTTTATCAAAGCATGTCTATTTAAACGATATTTTTGAGTACACATGTTACAGTTCCATTTTTCATTTGTGTTATGTAGAAGGCTCCGACCGCCAGATAATCCGGGTTCCGTCTGAATCTTCTTATATTTTTTTGCCAGTATTTTTTATGGTTTGTTAATATGTGTTGCTTTAATATGTCAATGTTGTCAAGCAATTGCTCTTTTATACTACAATACTCGCATCGTACACGCACGTTTAACTGTCTGACATGTCTCATTATCCAGTGTCGTTCTTCCATTGTCGATATATGTTATATTCTTTACTGTCGCGAATCGTGTGTTTTAGATCGCGCGAGAAGAGACTCTAATTAAGAATGTAAGAAATATGATCTTGAACAGATCTATGTTTCTGTTGAAATGACAAACATGCACAGCTTAAATCTGTTTAAATTTGTCTCGAGTTTGTTGTTTTTAACATGTATTCACAATAACATTTTTAGGAGGAAACAAAAATATGTTTTTAATTTGCGTTTATAAAAACGCTAAGTATAAGTTATGTACATATATACAGGGTGTCCCAGAGCTGGCAAAAAAGTTTTTAATGGCAGATTCCTGGTATCATTCGGAGATGATTTTTCTTCAGCGAAAATGTCGAGACACCAATAATTTTCGAAATATAAGCAGTTGAAAATAAAGATTTTTTTGGAAACTAAGCCCTGTTGAAATAAAATATTAATAGAACTACATTCTTCAGTTAATTTTAGATAGTGTTTGCTTTAATAGAATTTTAATATCAGGCTTAAAAGAAAGATACATAAAAATTAGGAACATGCTAAAAATGATGATCTCTCTCAACATTTTCACTAAGAAAAAATTGTCTCCAAATGATACCAGGAATCTGCCATTAAAAACTTTTCCGCCAGCTCTGATCCTGTATATAGGTTTAAGGTTAATCATCTAAATAAAATAATTCCTTTTTTGTTTTTGTGTATGTTATCAAAGTATATTTCTTTATCTTTTTATATATTTACTGACATTAAATACAATTAAATCCGACTGTTATAATAATAATCTATTATATATATATATATATATATATATATATATATATAATTATAATAATTATTATAATGATTAAAGAAAATAAGTTAATTTTATTTGTCATTTTTTTATTCTTCGATTTTATAGCAATATAAGAAAAGAAATTAATAACGAAATATAATAATTCAATATTATCACGACCATATATTATATTTAATTATAAATAGAACTAAATTTCTACTTAATTATCAATGTAATCAATGTAACAGCACACACATCCGAAAGACATCCAGAGGACATCTAGAGGACATCCGAACATCCTCAGAATGTCCTCAAGATGCTCCCCGAACGTACCCGGGATATGTGTGCTATAAGAAAAATATTTAAATTATAATAATATATATTCGCAACAGATCAAAAAGAGAAACAATTAATTTTAACAAGAATTAAAATCTCCATATATATCCCGAATTTATTGATTATTGTAGACATTAGATAAATTATGCTTCGGAGGCAAGACAGTAAATATGAATAAGAAACGACAATAGAAATCTCATTCTTATCTCATTATGTCGCCTCTCTATTATTTTATTTTCATTAATGACGGAATCTTTGCCTATATATAATAATAGTACGCCATCTGGAGTGGACGTTTCCATCTCTAAAAATTAAGAGCATCGATTATGTACACACATATCAAAATAGACGCGCGACAACGAATTGTCATAAAACGAATTATCCTATATAGATAGCAAAAATCGCATGTGGGGGCGCGTTGCGCGTCCCTAGTTTGGCAACACTGACGTATGACGCGCGATGAGGCGCGCGGCGCATGCGCGCGCCGCATATAGTCCGCGCAGCGCCGAGCGACACCTTCAGTACTCTCTACGCCGCGGTCGCGGGTGCATCGCCAGGTACGTGACATACGAACTCCTCGCGCGCCCGTCCATCCGTCTTCGTTCTCCCTCGGTTTGGCTCGTCCGAGAACGCTTCGGGCGGCCGCCCCCGCCTTCTTCGCGTTCGCTCTTCGTCCGTTCGTCGCGCGAACGATAAAATAGAGCGGGGCCAGCTTTATACTCTCCGCTGTGCGATTAATTGACGGTGTGCCGCGGGGAGCAGGGGGTGAGGGAGGGTGTCCGGCCGCGAGTGCGTCGGAATCGAACGAGCGACGTTGCGTCTCTCGGTTCGCTCTCGTCCTCAGGATGTGCGAGGAATATGAAGGGGAACGCTGGTAACGAGGATGACGCGCGGCCGATGTCCTGCGTCGATGATTCCGCGTCCGATGTTCGATCCCCAGGACCGTTCGGCGCTTGACGTCACGAGTGTCGCGTGAACACAGTTCGATCTGAATATAGTCGAACGTCGGCGCGTGGCTCTTCCGTGAGTCGCGAAGTTCAAATCGGCACGACGACGCCGCGCGAATGCACGCGTCATTGTTAAAATGGACCTGCCGGGTGTGATATTGGTATATACGTCGCGACGCTGCTGACAGGTAGTCGTTATTGGAGCAGTCCTGTATTGCGTCGCGACGCCACGCGTATATATTTGTGTTTGTTGTTGTACAACGACGTACCGAGGTCGATCTGGTTTATGTTTCGACGCGGCGCGGATACTCGTAAAAAATAACTTTAGAAATTTATGAATCGCGAGGAAAACTAGAACTAAGAATATTCGTCAATAAAAGTTATAAATCTCGGCAACGGATTATGTCATATCGTGCAAGTATAGTGAGTAAAGTCGCGATTTGAAGTAAATTGCGAAAGGATTCTCTTGTCTCGATACCGCGGAGAATCATATGTGTTGATCGAGATTCGAAAGATATCGCGTTGAGCCAATCGTGCCGAAATATTAATCTGAAAAACATCTTCCATCGCGAGTGCATCGAGTGCGTGAGAAAGTGCAGCTGCGAAAGGGTGCTGGAGGAAGAGAGGTTAGCCGAGGCCGACACCCACCGAGCAAGTCGATCAGCTGTTCCGCGGCGCCGACATCCCATCGTCGTTTCGGCAGGTTCGTACGCGCCAGTTTTCACTTTCCTTCTTATTACTCTTCTGCATACAATCGAAGACAAGTACAGCATATGTAATGTCTGACTTTGGAAAGCGATAGCGCAATATTTTTACATATTATTATGTACGGACTTTGGATTTATATGCGGAAAGGCACACTGAAAAAAAAAACTTGACTAAACTTTTCTCAACTAAATTATTATTTTTTCAATTCAACATACATTAGTATTCAAGTTGAATATATGTTTTGTTAGATTTAATATGTTATATTTAATTTAAATATTTTTATATGCTCAATTAACAAAATAATTATTTAGTTAAAAGATTTTGTCAAGTTAACAAATTTTTTTTTAGTGCATTAGTATAAAATACAGGTATTTTAACGATTGCTTTGTTTTCGATGTTTTATTAATAAAACAATATCATAAAAATAATAGAACGTAACAAAGTATAATACAATTGAATGATAAAGGAAATAATAAAAGAAAATAGCGTATAAATTATTTTGTTAATGAAAACTGAATAAACACTGAAATATTTTCACTTTTATTTATATATAGTTATTAAAGAACATTTTTCCATTTGCGATCTTTTGACTTTCTCTATTTTATAAGGACTCTTTTAAATGTTTCAAGTATCTCAGGTAAGGAAAATGAATTTATATTATTATATATTATACATGAGACCCTTCAATTATAATAGCGAATATCCATAATTAGATATTTACACGAGAATGAACGCATTTAATGAAAATATCAGCAAAGGATATCAAGTCGTGCGTATATCGAAAATATTTTAAATAGCCATTGCAATATAAAATGAGTAAAAAAACGTTCGGTAAGAACGGCCATTGAATACACTGAATAAAAACAGTTATTGAATCAACGTCAATCATTATTATTATACGTTACTATAAATAAACATTAGAATAAACCGTTGGCTAGATATATTTTACTCGAGTGAATCGATGCTCTGCTTCACTTTTTTGATGCAGTCCGGACTCAGGGCTGCCATAACTACTCGTGAGTTTTAATCAGGGCCCCTATTTTACTGCATGATTTCAAAAATTTTATTGGTTTGGTTATTGCGTCGTTCTGCCTCAGGCAATAAATCGGATGAATATGGACCTTCTTCTACTTTCATTAAATTTTATATATGAGACTTATCGTAAATGAAAAGTTTACATTGCTTTAATTGAAGTGAATAGATTTTTTAAAATAAAAATTGCAGTAAATAATTCTTATAAATCTATCTAATGCAAAAGCATTAAAAATTACTTTTCTTTTTTTGTTATTATTTTTATTAATTTAATTACACAAATATCGAATCGCGAATATATCAAATACATAAATAAAGAAATGCGAAAATATGAAATTTCTACCATATGGAAATATGTGAATATACCTATATATTTATATATAAGATTAAAGAGCATTGCTAAAGAATACTGCTAAAAAAACAAGACCTTTAAATGTCAAGAACATTGTGCTATGAATATGTCCTTCTTTTCTTTACTAATTGCGTCGCGTGTCGCGTAAAAACCTTTTCAAATGCTCACTTTGTCTACGATGTCTGGAATGCAAGGGGGATACACAGGTGGTCACTCTTTTTATATTGTTGAAAGCGATAGAGGGGACACGACACTGCAAGGTCAAAACGCATGTGTACGGAACACTTATAATTTCTCTTATAATGTTTGCATTACTCAATGGCACTGATTTTGCATGAAGTGTATTTGTCAAAAAATTTTCGGCTCGATAAATCATTTTTTCTCCAAAACGCAATGGAAATTTCAAATTAATATTAATAAATCGTCATTTACGTAATATTTTATTGAAATTTCAAGTTATTAAAATTAAATTAAACATTAAATCAAGTTAAAATTTAATTAAAAGAAATTGAAGTAAAAGAGTACTGAGAATTGATTTTTTAACGTCTATAAATATTTGTTTTCTTTTGTACTGTAATAATTTTTGTTTAAATTATTTGTTTATTGTCACATTAAACGTTAACGACAGCAGTCTTTATTTTTATAAAGTCTCCAATAATATCATTAGGTGGTGAAATCATTATGCTGGGCGATAGATTGCAACTGACGAGAACAGCTGACGTTTTTATCGCGATTTTATATTATTTCGAGGACAGTCGACAAATTATATCTATACAGTTAAACAAATTACAGTCCGTCATGAGCTTACGATTTTTTTCTCGACGAGTTATGTAACGTCGTCATTTTTTTAATTCGACACACGCGAGGGCTCGAGTACCGGAAGTGACCCGTTAAAACCGTACCTTTGTAATGCTACTCGAATATTAAGTACGATTGTAACCGTATTCTAAGTTGAAGGAACGTTTAAAGAGACAGTTGCGCTTCTTTCTTTTGTAGAATGAAAATATTTTACATCCAATGCACATTATATCGATGTTTAAACATTTCTCGCAAAATATTATTCCCGATGCATTATCGCTTTTATTGCTCTTATCTCGATAAGAATGACAGAATAAATTTGTGCGGAATCGTGAATTAATATCTGCATTCTCAATGGATTAATCACGTGTAGACTTGAGACGTAATGCGACACATTACGGTCTATTCGAACGAAATTCTCTTACGCAATATTACATAAGTCGAGTTCAGAAACTAAACCAAGAAATGAATATAACATAATGGCTCTATGTTTACTCGAGAACGAAACCAAAGAAAATTTACGACCGACCGCAATAAAGAATACAGTCACGTTATTTTTCTCGTCATTTACAGTCGTCGCATTTGCATATCATACATTATTTGTAACGTGTACATTCATTATACAAGAAGTCTCTCAACTTTGTTCAATTAAACTTTTAGATGTCTCAATTTTCTGTTAATTTTCATACGACAGCAAACGTGAATGAAAATACATCGTGTATACATCGTGATTATATTGTTCATTCTACACGACGATTCGAGGACTTTCTCCAAAAGGTTTATTGCGACAGAGCTCGATTTACGAGTGAGTTGAAGGTCTTTAATGGACCATGTTGAAGAGTTGCGTATCTTGAATCACACTTCTGTTTGCACTGCGTTATCGAATTTATCTCGTAGATTCGATTATCGAGTGTTACGTCGGCACGAAGTCGTTACATAAAACGGGATTTCGCGATATCGTGCTTCCATGATAATCCACGATAAGAAGGAAATAATAGCTCTTCTTTCATACTGTTTTTCCTCTGGATTTTTGCAATCGGCTTTACCTAGAAATGCATGCTTCAAGTCCGGAGCAATTAGAAAATGTCTCTAAAAGGTTTCATAAATAGTCTGACATACATAAGAATCATACAACAAATGTATTAAATGTGTATAATAAAAAATGTATGGCTTTAATATCAATTTAAGCAGATTATTTTATTAATTTCAATCAATATTCGTTCTTAATTTATATATGAATTTGGCAAAATCGATTTACATGATAATTTCATATAAAGACACCATTAATCATATGAATGTTTGGTTATATATTTTGTTAAGAGATTACAAGATTATCAAGAATATATATTATTTTATAAAATTTAATTAAAAATTTATTTCTATTATATATATTATTATATACATATATTTTTATTTTAAAATAGATTTAAAAATTATTTTAGATTATAAAGTTAAATGTATAATTTTCTTTCTCTCATTTTATATTAATTTGCAAAATTAATAATAGTAGAACGTTTACATATACTGAAAAAAATTTGTTAGCTTGACTAAACCTTTCAACTAAATTACTATTTTGTTAAATTAACATATATTAGTATTTAAGTCAAATATACGTTTTGTTAAATTTAATATGTTATATTTAATTTAAATATTTTATAGATTCAATTAACAAAATAATATTTAGTTGAAAGGTTTAGTCAAGTTAACAAATTTTTTTCAGTGTAATTATCTAACTTAACCATCACTTTCATTGAACTATAATGTTATATTGTTTTCTTGTAGAATAATATCTTTTTTTAATACATTTTTAATATTCTATTATACGAATAAAATTTTCATTATGTATATTATATATATATATATATATTTTTGACAATTTAATTATTAGATTTAATTTATTTCTGATAAAGTAAGGTAAAGTTCATCTTGACTTATTATCGAGAAAGATGAAAGTCGAGAAAGAAAAAATCGAACGAAAGAGAGTTAATATGTCTGCTGAGATTTGAAAACGTTTAAAAGAAACGTGTGAAATGCAGCATTGTGAAAGAAATTTATCGTAGCTGTTTTTAGCATTTGATCGACACGCGTGTGCTACGTATGCTACGAGAGATAAGGCAATCAAGCATGTAACAAGTCGCACATGTCGCGTGCTCATCATGCGAACAGTATATTATGAACGTTACCGCAACTGTGCCGCGTTTGCGAATAGGGGAACGCGGAACAAAGCGCTCGTTGCTTCGAATATACTATTCAAACCAGGAGCGGATAGAGTCAAAAAGGAATTTGGCGTGAGGCCATAATCTGTCGCAGCTTTCCGGCTTTCAACTATCCGACTATCTCGTCGATTAAACTTAAAATTAAATCTCTGTTGAAGCAAATTCAATCTGGTATTAATTGGGAGATGAGAATTAGGTTATTAAGCAAAGTGCATTTACGCTTTTTAAATTATTTATTTGTTTATAGAAATCATTAATGTTTTAAATTAAATTAATAAAAAACAGGGTTTTATTTTCTTAGCCCACCATGTATTGCAAAGCAAATAATAAAAAAGTGTTTAATTGGGCCTACTTAACGAGCAAATAATTAGACGTCTATACATATATATATATTTTTTTTGTGAAGTAATCACACATTTTATGACTATTTTACATCTAATTATTTGTTCGTTAAGTAGACCTAATTATACTTTTTATTATTAATATTTTAACTTTAAGATAATACATTTTTTTTACATAAATTTTACTGTTTATTGTAATTAAGAAATTTTATTTTACAATAAGTATAACATTATGGTTCAATAAAAGTGATGATTA